AGTCTTGTTAGCCATTTTGAGTGATAGTGCACAAAGGTTTAGGAGACAGTCAATCGACTAATTCATGTAAATTCTATATGTTTGCACCCATTATCACTCCAGGGTTTTGTCAGGATATTAACCTGATATCGTGAGGAAGCATGAATAGTACTTTATCATTCATTATAAATGTAAGTCCTTGATTTGCTAGGGTGGACATCCTTATCGAAATTGGATAACTGGTCAAAGAGGGTGAAGGCGGGCATTAAGGACCATTCATGCAAAAGAAGAATTTTATAAAATATAATTTTTTTAAAATCCAGTCAGTAAGTAGATCACAAAATACTATCCTGTGGAATTGTTGCTGTAGATTTTCTCCATTAGATCAGCTTGTTAGGCCGATTTAGTTGTATCCCCTTAAGGCCTCTTATCAAAGATATACTTCACGGGAATATCTGGGATAGAAGGCATTTCGAGTTGACGCGCAATGTATCCAAGTAATGAAGTTATTGAAAATAAACTATATCATGTTCAGAGCATCATGTTCTGCGTCCTCTGTCGTATTACTCTTGGTATTCATATCTAAGAACGTGTTCCTAGCATTTTTTTAATTATTTTATGCCGTTAGGACAAATATGCTCGAACGTTTTAGACACTAATAAAATATATAATTAAAGTATAAATCTGATGTAACTTTGTGATAATAATTACAAGAGGAGGTATCCTTCTGGGAAGTAATGTTGAGCGAAATTCAATCACTTCAATCACCCTTTAAATCGCCCTAAACAACCTTGGCTGACTAAGTTTTTATTCAAGAATTGGTGATAGTCCCAGAACCAAACTGTATGGATAATAAGATAAACAATACCTAAATATGGAAAAAGCCATGCTAGAAGAAATAAATTTTAGTTCCTAGCATACTATGCAGCCAGAAGTCCGATGCTCCGATTTTTATCAAAGGGAAGCTTGGGATGTCATATGGATTTGTGGATTTGCTGTAATAAAAAAATTGAAAATAAACATAAAGTTATGAAAGATTCTTTAGTTATGATAAGCTATGCGAAAGTTAGTCCTTCTATGGGGACAAGATCGATGTTGGTAAGACTGAACGTTGGGGCAAATTTTCTACTTGTGTTGAAAATAGAGATTCAGGGGAGGCTTCAATATTGTAATGCCAGATTAGGGCGAAAATGTGCTACATGATTCCTTCGTATTAAAACAAAACGAGCGCTTGGATCCTACAGATTCGTAGTAATCATTTGCTGGGGATATTATTAGCTTGTATTTGGGCCTTGCTCTTATACGGGATATGCTCACTACTCATAGCTTTTAGTGAAAATACAATATTCTAGCCTGCCCATGAAACAGGCTGAAGCCAAAGAAGCTGATTTACTGAATACATTCAACAAATAGGTATAATAGGCGAACTATTTATCGTTTAGGTCTGCAAGGCAATTTCTAAAAATATCTTGCAATGCTCCTTTTGACCCTTTGGGCCCATCAACTTGAGAAATGCCCAAATGGCCAATTTAAGCGCCGTTGAGACTCGGCATTGCTTTTTCAAGAGCGAAAGTCCATCATGGGTCAAATGGAGCTTGACGCAGAGGTAGTTGATCCGATCACGGTGGATTGAGTGGATCCACGCGTTACTTTAGCATCTCAATAGTAGGAAAATAATTATCATGTTTGATGATCCCTCATTTTTCGAATCTAACATTGCGATTTTCAGGCTGTTTTTTGCAGAATCTATGAGCTACTCTTCAAGAGCCACGAAGAGTAACTAGGTTTAGACGAATCGCGTGGGATAAAATTGCTTGCGAGACTTTTATTTCGTGTAAAAGTGGATGATGAAGAGATTCGACGGTTGATCTCACCAGAAGAGGACGGCTGATTTCAGTACTACTGCAACCGTATGGCCCTACCACGACGTTCAGGTTAACACAGTCCACGAGACATCCTCTCTCGTTTCGTATTAAAGCCAAATAGCTGCATCACAACGGGAATCAGACGTCCTCTTCTGGTGGGTCTGAGCTTCGAATCTCTTCATCATGCACTTTAACACGAAATGAAAGTCTCCCTAGCAATATTCTTTAAGGGATCAGTAATCTCGGTTATTTTGCTTACTTTGTCAAATAACTTTTAAAACTGATTGGGTAGGACAAAAGCCACTTTTCTCAATTAATAAAGAAGCCAATTAGGAATTCACCTAAAAAGCAAATACTCCCTTCTTAATTATGTCAGTAATATCTCATCTCTCAGGCTTGACAGCATCAAAGCATATAATGGTGGTAATCTAGATGTAAATAAAAATCACTGTTCGTCTGCATACTGAGCTGATTTTCCTTTCTTATGAGACTAGCTGATGAAGAGATTCGAATGCCAATTTCACCAGAACACGATGTCTGATTCTCCCCGGTCCTTTGTAGATTAATTTTACTGGGTCGTTCAGGCTTTCCAACTTCAACTTCTGGTAAGATGAAACAATGAGAATCTTTTCGATCTCATGTCACCTGACAGAAATTGCCCGAGCTGAATACCATTCTATAGCAACTTCGTGTTAACATTGATGGAAGAATAGTTACCGGCACATGCCTACATATGACATAGATCCCAACCAAAATGAATTTTTTGAAGGCATAGCCTAACTTTGATATTTATTTTCATTTACATCTGCGCGCATACAAAATGAAAATCAGCTAATCTATTATGCCCATATATGCGAATGAAGAATTTTGATAAATCTCACTCTTCAAGGAATATGACAAAGGGTAATTTTCATAGTCCCTTGTTAACCCATAATATACGCAGTTTGGCAAGGTTAATATTGTACATTTATATAATAATAAAAACGATGAATAATGCCAACCTATTCTTCATTAGTTAATTCTCCGCTCTAACTTAGGCTAAGCTTATTTCTCTTAGCAGAAAGAAGGTCATATTTTAAAGGCGAAGTCAATTTTATTATAATTCATGAATCATCAATACTTGGTAGAAAGTTTTGCTCAGCAAAAGAATCAACCCCATTATATATCAAAGCTGACTGGTTTTATCACTTCTTTATTATGATTTGTTTAATTTTTCATTATATTTCTTCATTGATCACTATCCTTGATGATCATTTTACTTCATCATGACCCTTTGGCCGGCTTCCATTCCCATTCACTCACTTCAGATTAGTCCGCATTGTAGATATACCATTATTGTGTGATTAATTCATATGGATTATACTCAATTCAGCCCTGTTTATAGCTTGTATTAGAAGGTGGAAACAGTTTGGTCAAAAATTTACACAAGGCTAATCAGTCATCATCGGCATAATCACTGCATTTTCGGTATGTAGAAGAAGAATCCCTTAATAGATTGATTGTGGGGTAACTTTTATTTCGTTTGAAGAGGCAAGTGGAATAGATGCATCGGAAACTGTAGAGCGATGACCTTGGAGCTATTATTGCAGATTTCTGCGAATAGGTCCTCGGCGTACCGCCCTGTAACGTCGATGAATTCTTGCGTCCATCATGTGATGTATATCGTCGGAACAGGACACCATGTTTTACGGCAATGGACAGAAACACGATGGCAAGAAAGGTGGCCGACTACAAACCAACCTAATTCTCATAGTCAAATCTGGTCCACTTGATTCGGCATCACATGCTTTGGTTGGATATTCTATGAATTGCCAAAATGTTTACTGAAACCTCAAGTTATGTGGCTACAGATGAAGCGTAAAACTGATGCGGTTGTGACCGAACAGATACATCCTCCCATAAAATACGTATTCCTTTGATCCTGCAATGTTGTCGCATGTGATTGCGTTCAATTGCCGGCGTATTGTGTGAATGCATTGCTCTTGAAATGAGTGTGATGTGAGAGTCAAAACTAAACTCTAGTCTAATCAAACTTCCTCCTCTTGCTCGGTAGTACTCCTCGTTCTCTCCCCACCTCTCTCTAATCCTATCCAGTAGCCACTTATTCAGTTAAGGTAGCAGTTATGAATGCAGATATGAAGACCAGGAGTGTGTGGCCTTCTGTTTGATGGCAGTCCCCTTTAGCTTTATTGTGTTGGTTCGACCTTGTTTTCCCAACTTGGTCGGAGTATCCTCTGCCAGAGAATTTGTGATCTCCAACATTGGGCCATTGGCTGGGCGCAGTCCCAAACGTTTCGCCGGCATCGTCAGTTATAGGCGCCATCGTAAGGACAGAGTTAAGCCAATCCCTTTGACCGATTTACTCTTCAACCGCTGTGCAATCACTCATCGTCCATACTTTTTGTTCTACCTTTTAGTGCTGCATCTCTTTCTCTCAACGCCACTTATAATTCCCATCCATTCAGTAACACAATTTTTTGCTCTTGTCTCCTCCAATGTCGCCTAAGAGTGCGTCGCCACCACCGGCACCAGATATCATTTGCAGGGCTCTTGACCTACATTCTGACCTATCAATAAATAATCCGGCTCTGTAATGAGTTATTAACTCACTTGATATGTCGGAAATATTGCTGAATTGTCAGCTTCTATTTGTGGCTATCGGCATAATTGACTTAATTGCTGTATCAGAGCTTTTATCCTTTCTGCACTGGTCTGAAGCCGCACTCCTCTTTCACACTCCTGAATCTCAGTATCTCGGATTTACTTAAATAACATTTCATTGTTTTCTCACTGCTATTTTTCCTTTAATATAATTATGACAATGAGATTAAGTTAAGCACTCTTCATTGGTCTACAAAATCGGCTGTTTTAATATGAGTTGTCTGAAATTTCTTTTATTTTATCGTCTCATCACTTCTTTTGCTCAATTCACCATAGCCTATGTTCTGCTTGGGGATTTGCTCAAATCGGTCTGATATCTTAATGAGGCTTGATAAAATAATTCTTATAATCTTCCACATAAAATGGAATTATTTTACTTTGAAGTATGGTATTGAGACTACCACTAGATGAAGAACTGGTGGCTGAATTTTTTGCACAATCATTAAAGTAGGTCTCATGTTTCCTTTAAATTTAACATAGCCTTTCTTTCTAAAAGTTATACTCATCCAGGCAAGAATGGACTGCAGTTTCGTCCTCGCCTCGGTTTCATTGGCAACCCCAGTGGGACTCGAACCTAACTTGTGAGAGTGCATTATAGGTGTTGTTGTTCTAGTAACACATATTTATTTTACGCCTCCTTCTCCTTCTTTTCTCTCAAGTTTTATGGCATCTATTAATGTCGTTGTTTAATTACCCCACCTTGATTCTTAGTAATTTACTAGTTTATTACTTCTTTCCTTCAATATACAAATTGGCTCATTATCTTAATGCATTATGTCAGTATCCATTCTTTTCTATTCGCTCTGCTTTTTATCCGTTGCATGAATGTTGGCCAGAATTGCATTAGACAGAGGCTAGAAAGTATATTATCTCAGAGTTTAGTGTAATGCGGATGGAATAGCGGGCAAAAGTAATCACAAATAAAAGGAGATACCAAAGTTAACGATACATCAGTCTATAATGCGTTTAAGAGATGTAAGGGAGGATCAAGCTCTAGCGGAATAAATAAAGACTGTAAAAAAGCCTCTAAAAAGATCAAATTTTAAAGTAAATAGCATAGAATAAGAAGGGAATAGTTTGTTTTTTATTTTGCATGAAATGCTTGGGGAAGCTAAAATAAGAAAAATCAGAAATCTGGGCCATAAAAAGTATAAAGAGAAACCAGCCGACCTTAAAATAAAGAAGCTCAAGACCATCGAAAAT